CCAGCCACTAAAGCCAAAACTGAAGAATTCTACCAACATCTTCAGTCTGAAATTGATCAAACATGTAATCAGCATGCACTGATAACTACTGGTGATTGGAGTGCAAAAGTTGGCAACAAAAAGGAGGAATCTACGACTGGAAAATGTGGCTTTGGTGATAGACATGATACTGAAGATCACATGAAAGAATTCTGCAAGGCCAAAGACTTCTTCATTGTACATACATTTTCAATAGCCTAATGGTGACTATACACATGGAACTCAACAGAATGGTATACAGTCTGTATGCGAAGCAAATAATCCATGGAACCAGGACCAATAATAATGCCCACCTAGTCTTTTCATTGTGAAAATTAGTGAAGGGATGTGTACAAAACATTTAGCATTGGACCAGAGACAGTATAACTGCTCAAAAAAAGATACTCCTTCCCTTTTGTTCTGAGAGTCATTTCAGGGGTGGGGGCTGCAGGGTGTCTGTGTGGGTCAAGGGAGCACCTTGAAAAGCATTTCATTCCAAGGGCTGTGGAAATGGCTCTGCTTTCTAATTCTTGTTCTCTCCTCCTTTCTACAACCTAATCCCTTCTCTGGAAACAAAGGTCACCTTCTACAAATGTTTTACCTTTCTAGCCAGGTTTTTTCCCCAGGGTTGCTTACACTTTTTCCCCCCTTAACCAAACATTAACTTGGAATGGGGGTGGGGGTGGGGATGGGGAGAACTGATCTATTTCTGCTTCAGCTGAGCAGTTTGTTCAGGTTACCTCATTTTAAAAAATTTAGATGTTGGAAATCCTTCGCTAATTAATCAGGGTTTCACATGAGTGCATAAACATCTTCTATCTGACAGCAGAAGTCGTGGAAGAAGGAAAAATACAGAGTAAGTCCTCCCTAAAGTCTGCCTTGTGGTAATTAAGCTAATATATAATGCATACCCATACTTAAAACTTTCCCTCCATCTCCCCCTCCTTCCGTGCGTGCAAAGTTATCTGTAGGCATTTGGCCCAAAGCCTCTGAAAAGTTTTCTTGGAGACGGCCAGACTTGGAACATTCAAAAACACAGACTCAGGAATTGTATTAAAATGAGGCACTCCAAGTAAATGGTTGCCATCTGACAGCAAGTCTTTTAGTAAAAAAGCAGCATTGTCACCATGCTCAGGAGTTTCCCTGGCTTCCATCTGATAGTGTCTGAGATGGTGTCTGGGGGAGTGTGCAAACTGCCTGGCAGGTGCTCACTCTGTGCCTATACTTACTTCTTGCCACTCCTCTACCCTCCACACGTAGAGAGGACAGGACGGGGCTTGGCAGGCACGCTCCGACTCCGGTCTGGTATATGGGTTGCACTCAGTCTCTCTGGTTACTTTGTGAGTTCCAATCTGACAGCCCACATTCCTCTGCTGCACGCCTTGGCCACAGGACACGGAGCACTAAGGAGACAGAGAATGTAAGTAGAGTTTTCGGTCATCTTTGGGGAGGGATGCAGATAGGGTGACAGAGGAGCGCGGAGCAGATTGCAATGATTTTCATCCAATGATTTTTTCATCGCTGCCCTCACTATTTTTTATTCCCAATGAAAGAGAACCAAGATGATATCTTAAGTCTGGGCACTCACTGCTCATAGTGCTGGAGGCTGAGGAAAAACAATGAAGTTTGGGGGAATCACTAAAGTAAATGAAAGTCCTGGAAAATTGAACCCACATGGGAGAGACCATTATGAAATGGTAGCCCAACCTAGAAACACCGTGGCCAAGTGATATGAAAACCCAAAAGGATGTCTTTCTGGGAGGATCTGAGGTTCTTGAAATATGGTGTTATCCAAGGAAAAGCGCTTGGCAGATTAAAACTGTAATCCAAGGAGAAAGCAAGTAACTAGAGACTTTTAAGCCTTATGTATAGAAGTAGTCTCTTCTTCTTGCTCCTATTATTCTTAGAAATGAGGAGGTTTTTTAAAACCATGGCATGCACTTTTGTATTTGTATCTACTTACAACTCAGATGACAGAAAAACAAAACAAAAAATTTCCTAAGGCCTAATGTTTTCAGTTCTTGAAGTACTGTTAATCATGCTAAAACATTTTGTTGACCAACTTGCAGAACACTATATTAAATCTGCAATTAACTTTCCTCCAAATTAATTTTTAATGGTTTCCTCATTGCTGGGTTTCATAATTTCACTTTTGGGCAGGCCAAGAATTATCGTCTTTATTAAGGTTTTGACAGTCAGAAACTAAAAGCAACATTTGATTGGAAAGAGAGTTATTGCAGTTGGTTATTAAAATTATTACCAAGTTTGTGTAAGAGCTCAGCCTTCATTAATTTGTCTGGTGGTGAGAAAACAAGTTTAACATACATTAAAACCATACTCCTAGGAGGAAATGTTTTTTAAAGAATAGAATCACACTCTTTTAAATTAGAAAGAGACTCTTGTTCAATTAACCTGTAGCAGCGTTCTTCTCCCTGTGAGGCTAATGGGAGTTTACTATCAAGAAGCCCAGCCAAATTCTGTGGCATATTAATTATCCCTCCATTTCAGATTTCAAGAAACTAGGTTGTAACATTTAGAAGGCAACACAGGGAAACTGCACTGTTTCTGATGAGTCAGTGGCAGGAAGGAAACATGAAAGCTCGCTGAAGGGAAGATAATATTTTTGATCAATACTTGGGTCACTATTGTTTGAGTGTGAGAGCACAGTGGCTCTGCAGGATAAGCACTGGACTGCAAGCCACAAGGTTGGATGTTTGAACTCACTAGCTGTTCCACGAGAGAAAGATGACAATTTCTGCTCCTACAAAGACTTATAGCCTTGGAAATGCCAACAGGTTGCTAGGAACTGGAATCCACTCAACAGTACTTAACCACAACATGGTTTGGGTTTAGGTGATGAGCTAAACCACTGATTGAGTTTAGTTGGAATAACACAGCTTCTGATCCACAAGACACCATTTAAAATCATTATGTCTTGGGTTTAAAGGGAAGGTTCCCGTAGCGCTGTGGGATAAGCATGGGCTACAAGGTTGGTTTGAACTACAAAGTTGGCAGTTCAAACTCATCAGTCACTCTTCAGGCACCCTATACAGGGTTCCTATGAGTTGGAACCAACTCGATGGCACTTAACAACAACAGGCACAACAAGTCCCGCATACAAGTGAGGCCGTGTCTATGGACAATAACCACACTTCATGCTCACGAGAGACACATGTTTGTATTACATTGGGAATCAATGGACCACAGCATTCTCTACCACAAAAACCACTGATATGCCCTCACATCATTATCAACAGGCAACAACATAAAATTGCCACTCAAAAAAATGAGTCCACTTGAATTTACGATCATAAATTCCCAAGAACAAATGTATCCAAATAGAAATACAAAGAAAAGAAGACAGGGGTTTCATAAGCAAGTTTGAGTTTGACATAGGGCTAAAATATATCAAAGTCTCATAATGATTTAATAATAAAGAAAAACAAAAAGTAAAAGTTGAAGATATAGGGTTATAACACTTTCAGGCTAACAAGTAAGTGAAACCTCTTTCTGACAAGACTGTTAGCCCTGAGTAAAGTACAAATGATTCACAGAAGGCAAAGATGGACATAAAAAAGAAAAATCACTTCCTGCAATGGTGAATAATTTTTTAAAAAGAATAATTAAGACATGATGTGGTTGTTAAATGTCGTTGAGTTAGTTCCTACCCGGTACAAGATTTCTGAGGAACAGCTAGTGGGTTTGAACTGCCAACCTTATGGTTCACAGTCCAGTGCTTATCCTATAGGGCCACACCAAGATTCCAAAGAAGACATGGCAAGGCTCAATTATATGTCATCCTGGTGTCTGATTTTCATAACATCAAAGCCAGCCCTGGAATAAAGCGTTGAAAAGTTTCACCATGGCTTAAATATACAGTGAAGTGCAAGCCCTGCCTTTCTGCACAATGTATCCACGGCAATCTTTGTTCAAAATGAGGTGCTCTGCATCAGTGTTACTTCTCTGCGTGTTCTTCTTTGTCTTCTTCCTTTCTGTCTTCAGAGAAGCAAGAATTTGCATACAAAGACAGTGATATTTGTTTGAGACTAAAACAGCATCACATGACTTGTATAAGACCCTAGAGGTGGTAGTGGGGTGTGTGCACATGGTTAATGATTCTTGGTCTAGCTATACCACCTCTTGATTCATCTGCAGATTTGTACAATTTCTCATACTTTGCCCCGCCCCACAGCCCTCATCCTAGTCTGGCTGTCGATTGTGCAGGCTGGAAAGGAGGAAAGTAGAGGTTTTCAGTTCTGAACTATAGAGCTAAGAGCTAAGAGCTGTTTCATCTCTCTGCACTCCCTGCTGTGTAATGCTAGTATGCAGAACTCGCCAACTTAAAGGCCACTTTGATGCTTACTTCCACAAATGAGAAGAATCTGTGGAACTTCTACTGTTTGTGGAATCATAACGTGCATACGCTTGAAAGCCTGGAAAGAATTTTACATAATTCCTTTCAGTTTTACTCTGAAATTATGATGGGGCATTACTTTAAAGGAGGAACCAGACTGACAATGGACTATAAAAATGAATGTTTAGAAATAGCAACAATAATAATACAAATGTTGTTGTTGTTAAGTGCCATCAAGTCATTTCTGACTCATAGCCACCCTGATGAGGCTTTCTAAGGAACAGATGGTGGGTTTGAACCACCGATCTTGTGGTTAGCAGTCCAGTGCTTTTCTTACAGTGCCACACACTTGCTATAATGCCAGGCTGTACAAGGGTGCCAAGGTTTCTCAAGCAAACAGTTCTTTATTGTGGGGGTCTGTCCTGTGCACTGTAAGATGTTCTACAGCATACCTAGCCTCTACCCACTAGATATCAGCACCCCACACACAGCTGTGACAACCAAAAATGTCTCCAGGCATCATCACCAGATGTTTCATGGGGAGCAAAATCACTATCTCCACCTCTCCACCCCCATTGAGAACAACTATTCTATGCTAAATATTTTACATAAAATATCTTTATATTTCCTAATAAACCTTTTAAGCACATACTCTCTACATCTAACTAAAATGAAAAACAAAGATAATCACACACATCAGCCCAAAACAAAAGCAAAACAGTCAAACTCCGTTCTGAACAAGGCATCATAACTACTGTGAATTCGAATTTGGCTTCTAGTGAATTAGTACATGGTTCTAATATTCTTCAGTCTCTTATACTATGTCAGACAGAGTGTGAATGTTCAAACAATTCACCATTCATGCTCCCTGTTCAAATAAAAACCAAAATAAATGGAGCGCACACATCACTAAAGTAATACTTGTTGTCATCACTTGACCACATGCACATTTTTCCTTAATTTCACTTCAACACTTAAAAGAATGTTTCTGGTCCACACATCACAACCACACACCTCTCACTGTCAGAGCAACAAACAGTCATAACCCAAAGCCACAGGTAGACTTGCTAATTTGCCAATTTCCATCTGGGTATTAGGATTGAAAATGTATCCAAAATTGTCTGTTTCACTGAATCTACAATATCACCAATCATATTATTTTGTGTGCCACTAAGAAAACACAGGCTGTTGATTAAACCACGGCACCTCACTGGTTGTAAGGCCCATGCTGACCACAAAGGTTAAATTAATGAAATGGTGTCATCCTGTTCCTTTCATTCTTGTCTAGTCACTTATCCTTTTTTTCGGATCTTCATGAACAACAACACAAAAGTCCTTGTATAGAAGCTGTTGTTGTTGTAAAGTGCTGCTGAGTTGCTTCTGACTCATAGTGACCCTGTATAGGGTGTCTGAGGAGCAACTTGAATGGCTGGCCTAGTTCAAACAGACTTTGCAGTCCAGAGCATTACCCCATAGCGCCACACCAGGACTCTTAAATAGGAGTGACTGTGGCTGTGTGCCATGGAGTCGGTTCCGACCCATAGCGACCCTGTACAGGGTTTCTGAGGCTATAAATCTTTACGGGAGCAGAAAGCCTCATCTTTCTTCCGCAGAACAGCTGGTAGTTTAGAACTGCTGACCTTGCAGTTCGCAGCCCGATTCCTAATCACTATGTTACCAGAACTCCTTTACATAGGAGTAGAATAAATTATTTTTTTTGTTCTGGACTGATTGTATAACATTGGAATACAGAGCATTCTTATTGTACAATAGAATTTGAGGCTGATTTTTGTTTTAAAATTTCACAGGAATTCCCTAGCTCTTTTGATCCAAATCATCTAAACAAATCAAACACGAACTTCAGAAAACAGCCCTTTAAGATTTTAGTGAGGATAGCCTCTAATTCCCTCTACAAATTCAAGATTTTCAAAAGATTTGGAAATGAAACATTCTATTTTCAATCTCAAAATACCAATTTTTTCACAGGGAGAGCCTGTGAAGGTTGGCAAGGCAATAGAGGTCTGCTCTCCCAATAATCTACAGGTCTTATTAGCAACAGACATTCTGACATGGTGAGAAATTTCACTAATTATTCTTCATAACCTGAAGGCAGGACGGTAAGAAGGTACCTACAGCACAAAACAGTAGGACCAGATAGAAAATCTAAACGTTGTAGCAAATGGGCGATCATTACTCTTGCTTTAATATTGCTGCTTTAATATTGGTGCCTTAGTGATATTCTTGTTTACCAGTGGACCATTGATAAGCCAATATCCTTTAATCATGGAGACAGGCATTTCCCATCAATCACTGGCACTGATCAGTTTCAGGTAAACCAGTAAATTGCACAAATAGAAATTTAACCATGTAATACTTTGTCTCCCCTGCTTTTATAATTCATTTCTACAAATCAAATCAGGTATTATAAAGCTGGCCGCAGACTATTATATAACTGTGTCTACTTGTATTTTCTACAAAGGTGTCTTGGTTTTTCTAAGCAACCATTTGGAACAGGTGCCATCTTTTCTGGGGAGGCATTCTGGTAATCCTATTACCTTATGTTCATAAAAACCTCCAGGGTTTAAACCTAATCATCCCAGCTTTGCAAGCAATTTTAGGCTTCCCAAGAAGATTACAGGATACTGGAATCAAACTCACCCTGTGTTTACCAATAAAGCACAAAAGATTCTTTTAATGTTTTTTTAATTGAATAAATTGACCTTTAAAATGAGCATCATTTACATGCTCTGAACTTAATACTCAGGGTTAGATGCAAATAGATAAGGTAGATGCTGAGGAACAACGTATAGATAAATAACAGAGCATGAAATTCTACAAGAGGACTAGCTAATTAGTGTGGTCTCTTAAATAAAGTTAGCTAGCTGCAGGCTTTTTCATGAATCCTTGGAATAAAAAAAATGGAAGTTAACAGATGACCATGGTCATTTAAATAAACCATTAAGATGGATGACCAGAGGGAAATGTGGCATGGAAATCTGATCTCTTCTAGAAACCAGAGGCGAAACTTGACTCTGGCTACACACAGATCCTTTAAGTATTTTAAAAACATGTTGATGGTTTTCAATAATCCCAGGAATCCCTTGGTGGTGCAAATGGTTAAGGTCTCAACGACTAATCAAAAGGTTGATGGTTTGAATCCCCTCAGTGGTGCTTCAGAAGAAAGAGCTGGTGATTGTTTCTGAAAGGTCACAACCTGAAAACTAGATGGAACACAGGTCTACTCTGCGCACATGGAGCCAAAATTCATCTGAAAGCAGCTGGCAAGAGAAAACCCTTCAGAGAAATGAAAGGTAATCTACTGGGGACTGCTGGAGACCACGTTTTACATTTCTGTGAAGTGGAATATAGCTGGGAAAAGGGACAGGAAGAAGGGAAAGGATGGGATTTCAGGACTTAACCCAATATCTGGTTGCCATTAAGTCGATTCCAACTCACAGAGACACTACAGAACAGAGCAGAACTAACTGTCCCATAGGGTATCCAAGGCTGCTATCTTCATAAATGCAGACTGCCACACCTTCCTCCTGTGGAGTAGCTAGTGGATTCAAACCACTGACACACTAAGTGCTTAATTACTATGCTACCAGGGTAGTTTGGAACCGACTCAGTGGCACACAACCACCACCAATCATCACGGCTCAGAGGCATTTAAGAAAAATTTAGGTTTCTGAAGGAATTTTTATGAGTCATGTTGGAGTTAATGGTTCTCAAATCTTTCCTGTGTTAATATAGATGTGTCCAAAGCTGCTCAGGACCTTAGTAATAAATCAAGACTCAGGCTCTAAAAGAATCAATTCTAGAGGCTGCCAACCTTGAACCTAGTTTCCCTTGATTCTCAGGAGTAATCTATTTAATTCTGTACTGCATAGAAATACAGTAAAACCTCATTGAATCAGATTAATGGAGAGAAGGATCAGCATTAAGTACAGAATATTTTAAGAGAAATTGAATCATTTTACTTTTAAGTAATCACCTTTAACCAAGCTGAGAAAATGTACAAGTGCGGAATTCCAAGAAGCCCTCCTAAGAACTGTATAACAGTGACTTGACTTCATGTGTTAATTATTCACAGGAAAACAGAAGCTTCTAAAAGTTCACCAGGGAAACTCACAATTCCTAACTACATTATCAAATGTTTAGAGCTGGTGGAGACTAACTGAATCTTTTCTAGATACCTGATGTCTCCCCTTCCCCATCCAATACACTCACCATTCTCATCCAATCAAACAAAATCTTACTCTTGAGGGTTTATTAGATTCAAGATCTCTGAGCTAAGTATTAGGCATTAATTATTTTATTAAATTCTTATAATAATAGCATGAAGGAGATGTTATGATCTGAGGTTCAGAAAGGTTCAATAACTCACCCAAGGTCACTTAGCTAGAAAATAACAAGGAGACTTATCCCTCCTGTCCCCCACTTCTGGCACAGAAATATTATCCAATGCTTACAGTCAAAAGCCCTTTCTTTCCAGACCTCAAAGGGAAATTCAGATTCACTCCCTGCCATGTTTGGTTCTTCTAAATGGTGAACAATGATAATAAACAAAAAAGTGTCACCTGGCAAGTACTGAGGGACCACTCTGCCCTCAAGTCTGATGAGCCTCATAACCACCCTCTTGCAAGTTTTAAATAAAGCACCAGGGTTTGAAGTCACTTGCCCAAGGCCACAAAGCTCCTAAGTCACCTGATTATAAAGATATTTCCTCCCCATTCCCAGCTCCCCTCTGAAAAATCAAAACCATGCAGAGAAACAGAAGACAGCACACCGGAGCCAGCAACGTGGCAGAATGTAAGGAAACAGTCGGAAGAGGAGAAGCATCGCTCACCTGACTCCAGGCTCCAGCCTTCCATTTGGGGCATCGTCCTCCTCGGCACTTTCTGTGCCCATTTGGCTTAGCAAGGTGTTTACAGTAATCACTTTCTAAATGGGTTCCGTCTTTTGCCATGCAGTAAACATTTCGTTGTTTATGCCCTCGACCACAAGAGACAGAGCACTGCAATATAAACCAATGGCAAAGTTGTTGGTTTTCTTTGTTTCTTTTCTTTTTTTTAAAATCACATCATGAGATGTTAAGACCATGTCTAAGAAAAGCCACCATTTCCCCCCTTTTCAGCATTATCTTGGATGATTTCCCAAAGCTCCACTGGGAAGGAAGATGGCATTGTGGGAAAATGTTCCTAGCAGTACAGAAACACTCCTGGATGGTGGTGTCTTGGGTCACGTGGACTGTGGGCAAATTCTGATTATTAAGCCAAAATAAAGTCTATGAACCTGACATTACCATGGAATTCTGATTTAAACAGCCTTGGTAGTATACTAGGCTACATGTCATGCTGCAAACCACAAGGTGAGCAGTTTAAACCTACCAGCCACTCCGTGGGAGAAAGATGAGACTTTCTAATCTGTAAAGATTTTCAGTCACGGAATCCCTATACAGGGTTGCTACAAGTCGGAAGTGACTCCACAGCGCAGCACCACCAACACTATGATAGGAAGAGTCCCAGTGTGGTGCTGTACGATAAGCACCAGACTACTAACTGAAAATTTGGCAGTTCATATCCACCAGCCACTCCTTGGAAGCTCTATACAAGGTCACTATAAGTCAGAACTGACTCCACAGCTCTTAGCAACAACAACATTGATGAAATGCCAAGGATTCCTTTTGCACCCGTACTCCATACAATCTCTGATCAAGGTATTGCTTGAACAGAATGCCATGTGATTCACAAGTTGGTGAAAGGTCCATCTCCAAATTACAATTAGAATTAATAAATGATTGAAGGAAACTTTTCAACCATTTTCCAGAGACTAAACTCAGTTTTTCTTTTTAAGGGAAAGATGTTGAAAAGGACATGTCAGACAGGTAAGTTTGTGCCAATTTTGAGAGTGGGCAAAACCTTTCCCCTTTAATCTGCAGGTCCACTGAATTGCTTTAAATGTGACCTTGTCTGACCACATCTAGGAAACTTGGCTTTGATTTCAGATTAGGTTTCTCAGAAAGATTTAGGAATCAAAGTGCCCATGGAGTGAGGACAAAAATTTCATATGACAGCTTGTTGTACAAGAGGCTAGAGGCTGGCCCAAATGAAGGCAGGGTGATAGCCAACGTTCTCTGTCTCATTAGCAATTACAGAGTCTTTACCACTTGGATCATAAGCTTGCTGGCTCAGGTTTTCAAGACACATTATTTCTCAAGATAATGTTCTTGCATTTTAGAGGGAAATGAGTTTAAGAATGAAGAACAAAATGTGAAAATGCAATGAAAAATAGATTACAAGTGTCATTTCCTTCTATTCAATATTTCTCATTTCCACCACCAACTCTGTGATTTCATGAACTTAAATTACCAAAGTGCCTTTTATGCATAATAGATAAATAGCACCATGTAAAACATACAGGCTAATATTAATTTAACCACTATTACCAAGCATGCTCAAAGTTAAACCATTTATAAACGTGCCATACATATTTTTCTAGTAAATACAAACCATTATAAAATTTTCAATATTGTTGTTAAGTGATGTCAAGTTGATTGCAACCCATAGCGACTCTGTATAGGGTTTCTGAGGAGCAGCTGGTGAGCTTGAACCACCAACCTTGCAGTTCCAATGACTTTACAGTCTGACACATTAGCCCACAGAGCCACACCAGGACTCCTTTCAATAGTAGCTAGTAGTTAAAGTATGTGTATTAGTAGGTTTCGCACCGACATTTTACTTTAAAAGGGAGAAACAAAACTCTTCATTTGAGCTCCTATTTTATGACTATTATAGTTTGGAGTAGTCATTCTAGAAATCTTAATATACTATACAGTGTGGAGGGAGCCAGTTTGATTATCTATATAAAAATTAAAAGAACTACCATTCAACCTAAAGCATTTTGATGTATATAAAGATTTTAGATCATGAAAAGATGCTAGAAAGACATTCCTATAAACCTTTAGAATGGGCTAATGGCTTGCTCTAAGGCATACTGTATTGTTGTTGTTGTTAAGTGGTATTGACACAGTTCTGACTCATAGTGACCCTATATAGGGTTTCCAAGGAGTGGCTGGTGGACTTGAACCACTGGGCCTTGCGGTTCAAACTGACCTTGCCGTTTAGCACATTAACCTACAATGCCATTGTTGTTAGGTGCCATTATGTTGGTATAGACTCATAGCAAGCTTATGCAAAACAGAATTAAACACTGCTCAATCCTACGCTGACCTTCTCTAGGGTTGTCCTTCTCCAACTGGTCCCACCTGATAGTAAGTCTGAAGTATGAGAGATGAAGTCTCCCCATCCTGGCATCTAAGAAGCATTCTGACAGATTTGTTTGTTCTTTTGGCAGTCCATGGTACTTTCAATATTCTCCTCCAACACCATAACGCAAATGAATCAATGTTTCTACAGTTTTCCTTATTCACTGTCCAGCTTTCGAATGCTTATGAGGTTACTGAAAATACCATGGCTTGGGTCAGGTGCACCTGAGTCCTCAATTTGACATCTTTGCTCTTCAACACTTTAAAGATGCCTTGTGTAGCAGATTTGCCTAATGCAGTACATTTGATTTCTTGACTGCTGCTTCCATGAGTGGTGATGGGTGATAAAGGCAAAATGAAGTCTTTGACAACCTCAATCTTTTCTCCATTTATCTTGATGTTATTTACTAGTCCAGTGGTGAGGATTTTTGTTTTCTTTACATTGAGATGCAATCCATACCGAAGGTTGTGGTCTTTGATCTTCATCAGTACGTATTTTAAGTCCCCTTTGCTTTCAGTAAGCAAGGTTGTATCCATCTGCATATTGCAAGTGGTTAATGAGTCTTCCTCCAATCCTGATACTGTGTTTTTCTTCATATAATCCAGTTTCTCAGATTATGCGCTCAGCATACAGAGTGAATAAGTACGGTGAAAGAATACAGCTCGGGTGCATACCTTTCCTGATTTTAAGTCATTCAGAGTCCCCTTGTTCTGTTCAAACAACTGCCTCTTGGTCTATGTACTGTACAATTAGTGACCAATTTTAATACTCAAAAATGTTACTTTGACAAGAAAACAACAGAAGGGTAAAAACAGTATTTAGGGTGCGTTCATTTGTTTATTCAACAAATATTTATTGAAAACTTTATGCTGGAGTCCTGGTTTGGCACTGTAGGGAAAACACTGGATTACTAACCACAAGGTTGGCAGTTCAAATTCACCAGCCACACCTCAGAAACACTAGAGAAAGTCACCTTGAGTTGGATCAGAATTGATATCACTTAACAATAACAACAGGAGCTCTGGTAGCGTAGTGGTTATGAATCGGGCTATGAACCTTAAGGTCAGCTGTTCGAAACTACCAGCTGCTCTGCGGGAGAAAGATGAGGCTTTCTACTCCCGTAAACATTTACACCCTCGGAAACCCTGTACAGGGTTGCTATGGGTCGGAACCGACTCTACGGCACTTAACAACAACAACAACAACAACAATAACAACGGAGTCCTGGTGTGGCACTGTGGGATAATGCACTGGGCCACAAGATTGGTTTGAATCGCAAGGTTGGTGGTTCATCCTCACCAGCTACTCCTTGAAACCCTATATAGGGTTGCTATGAGTTGGAACGGACTCAACAACACTTAACAACAACAACACGCTTTATGTTAAGTACTGGGAATATCATGGTCAAAAAAACTGAAACAGTTCACAGCTCATGGCGCTTCTAGCCCACTGAAGGAGACCAACATTTATGCAGTGATGATAAGAATTCATATATAATTACAAACTTGAGATGAATGATCTGGAAGAACTCAGCTAGAGTGGCTGGAAGGGAGTCCCGAAGGTATTCTTTGGGGCTAGATCATACAGAACTCATAATAATGAGCCATAATAATGAGCCTGGATTTTATTCTGCACACGATGGGAATGCACTAAAGAGTTTTAAGTCAGAGAAAGACAAGTTGTGATTTATGTTTCAAAAAATCTCCTCTGGCTGCTGCCTGGAGGAGGGGTGGAAATACAGCGTGAGTAGAAACAAAGACAATCCACTCAGGAAGCTCTTACCTTATTCCAGGCAAAGGAGATAGTGGTTTTGATTAGGGTGGGGAGTTCTGGGGTGGGGCCATTTGGTGAATTTAAAGGAATGCTTTATTTAAAGTAGAAGCAATAATATCTTACGGGTCGGCTGCCAGGTAGAAGGGAGTGGACAATATAAGGTCAGACTCTCAGATTTCTGTCTTGGACAACTTGTTTGATGAAGATGACCTTTATTGAGCTGGGGAAAACAGCTCTGGGAGTCAAGGGTACATTTATTTGTAGAAAACAGGAGTGCTAGTGGCACTGTAGGTTAAGCACTGGATTGCTAACCACAAGGTCCGCAGTCCAAAGCCAATAAGACACCTCTCATGAGATAGGTAAGTTTTTCTGTTCCTGTAAAGATTTACCACCTCAGAATTTCTGTACAGAGCGGCTGTAAAGTGAAACTGACAATGGCTCGAACAGCAGGCTGGATTTAGGGATATGGAATCTTGAGTGGTTATATTGGTTTGATAATGGTGGCGAAGCAGACCTAGTTAGCTTAATAGTAATCATGGATACATAATTAGCCATAAACATTGTTGTTGCTGTGAAGTGCTGTCGAGTCAGTTCCTACCCATAGTATAGGGTTTTCGAGGAGCAGCTGGTGAGCTTGAAACGCCGACCTTGCAGTTCAAACGGCTTTGCAGTCTGGCGCATTAATCCACAGCGCCACACCAGGACTCCCATAAACATGGGTGAGCTTAAAACAAGGGTGTCAGATCTGTTTTGTTACTGATGCTGTTGTTAGTTGCCACTGAGTTGATTGGTAGTAGTGGTGTGCTGCGGAGTCAGTTCCTCATAGTAACCCTGTACGGGGTTTCCGAGACTGTAAACCTCTACGGAAGCAGAACGCCTCATCCATCTTTCTTCCGTGAAACAGCTGGTAGTTTCGAACTGCTGACCTTGAGGTTAGCAACCCAAATTGTAACCACTATGCTACTTATGGTAATCT